CCTGCAAACCATTCCTGCCTCTCTTGGCCTCCTTTCCAAGTCAGGATGGGTCCGGGGATGGGGGAGATGCAAGAGTGGGAAGGGAAATGGTGTTAGTGGGATGGATATGGGGAAATGGGAAATGGAAGGGCAAGGGGAGATTGAAAGAGAAGTGCTCTGAGGCTGGTTGACAAGGAGGGGATTTGTTCTGGGTTGGACTCAGTGATGTTGGAGGTGTTTTCCTGCTTCCTGGGCTTCTCAGGTTACTCATGGAATCTGGGACAGGAAAGTTTCCTTTCCCCGCAGTCAGCAGGCTCTGCCCCGGCCCATGATGGTCACTGTTAATGCTGCTCCCAGCAGTTCACCCGCCCTGTTTTTCTAGTCTGAATCTCTGATGCTCTCCTGCTCAGCGCCACTCAGCTTTCTGTTATCAGGGCTCCCAGAAGATGTGCCAATGCCAGGAACACTAATGAATAATTAGAGGTTTTTCTGGACGGATCCTTGAGTAATTAATGGAGTAAACTCCCTCCACCCCTTAACTCCCGTGTAGGCACTGAGAGAAATGTCAGCTCTCTGCTGGATTTTGCAATCAGACGTGAGCTCACTCCCAGCCGGCATCCAGCCCAAGTTAAAGCTGTGTAATCGTTGTTCCCTAAGTGTTAATGGCTCTCTCCAGCGCTGGTATCTTGGGCTGAGCCCTTGTCTGACAGAACACTTAATTAGGCTGGTACCTGCCTGGCACTGCCTCGCTCGGAGGACCGGGTGAAATTTGGCAGTCGCAGCTCAGGTATTCGGCTGGGCTCGTGGAGGCTGTGGGTGGAAGCAAAGATCAGAAGAGAGTTCAGGTTGGGCATAGGAATTTCCTCCTGGAAAGGGCTCAGGAAAGTTTGGAATTCCGTTGAGATGTCCAAGGAATTCCTGGATGTTGGGATGGGTGACCAGGTGGGGATCAGGCACAGCTTGGACCACCTCAAAGGTCTTTTCCAACCGGAACAATTCTGCAATTCTTTTGGTAAAAATATTCTCAGATAAGTGTTTGTTTGCCCGCAAAAGTGAAGTGTTGTTTTCTGAAAATAAAAGCAGCATTTCACGGGTACCATGGACTAATTTTCGTTTCTGTTTATTACATATGGCCATCTGACAGATCCAGTCCCATATGAGGAGGAATACTGAAATAACCTGTGAAAAGTAAAATTAGCTGTTCCTTGCCACTGATCAAGTATTTTTTTTTTAAGAGTCCCGGTGAAGGAAGAGGTAAATCCTCTCTAATGCATCAGTTCATGTTCTTTTTACCTCACCTGCTGACAGGTTCAGCCAAACCTTCCCTGCGGCAACTTTATCATGGCAGTGATTAATGAAAAAAGAGAGGGTAGTGCCTCATCTTTTCTCATTAGATACCAATCTCAAAAATTGTTTCCCTTTGTTCACCTTCCTCCTATCATTCCTTTTCAGAGGAGAACTTCAGGCAGTATTTTTTAGCTTTGTCTTTGAGGGCAGTTGGATGATTCCAACATAGCCAGGAAGATTTAAAATTAAAAGGAATCCCAGCACTAAATTAACCACTTTAAAAAAAGAACCATGGAATATCCTGGGTTGGAAGGGCCACACAGGGATTGAGTCCAACTCCTGGCCCTGCACAGGCACCCCAAGAATCCCACCCTGTGTCTGTCAGCATTGGCAATGTGACTGTTCCCCGTTCCAGTGCCAAACTGGATGGAAACAATTGGAATAAATACTGGAAGTCTGACAGCTGGAATAATTAATGTAAGGGCAGAGAGAACTCTCAGCTGCAGCTCCGACCAAAAACATCTCAGCCCGGTTCTGATGGGAGGGGAGAGGAATCCACTCTGGGGCTTAACAGGAAAAACAAAGGCAGGTGTTGGATGCAGGAATTTTTTTATTGCAAGGGCGGGGAAGGCCCCACTGGACGAGGACAAGCGAGGCAAGGACAGGCAGGTTGTCCCTCACGAGAGCTGCTCGTTCAGCCTTGTGGCAGGAGGCAGCAGTTTCAGGGAGATGGTGGAGTTTCAGGGTGGGATGGTGGAGCTGCACATTTGGCCACTGGAAGGGGCGCAGAAGAGGAGACGGAACGAAGGAAGGAGGAAACGAAAAGGATGCGGGGCTCTGACTCCACGGTGTGAAGCCTGGTGCTCTGCCCCTTCCTCAGGAGCTCACGTGAGGATCCAACAGTGTTTGCCGAGTCAAGGGATTTCCCCCTGGGGTTTAGCAGGAGCCGCAGCTGCCGCGGCCGTAGCGGCCGGAGCGGCCGGACCAAGAGCCAAAGGATCTCCCGGAGCCATACAGGCCCCGGAACCCCCCGTAGCCCCCCAGACCCCCATAGCTCAGGGATCCATAGCCCCCATATCCACAGAGACCCCCATATCCCCCAGATCCATAACCGCCATATCCTCCAGAGCCAAATCCCCCATATCCCAGGGATCCAAATCCTCCGTGTCCCAGGGATCCATAACCTCCATATCCCATGGATCCATAACCACCATAGCCCAGGGATCCATAGCCCCCATAGCCCCCAGAGCCAAATCCCCCATAGCCCAGGGACCCATAGCCCCCATAGCCCAGGGAGGCCCCAGAGGCTCCAAGGAATGGCGCTCCAGCAGATCCCACCACGGAATCCTGCGGGAAGGAGCTGAGGATGGGCCCAGGGAAGGTGACCACCACGGCGGGAGGCTGGATCACAGCGGTGGAGTCGGGGCACTGGCGCACACACGGCTCGTTCCCGGTGTCAGCCAGGGGCTGGGGCCGGATGAGGCCGGAGCCAGCGGTGGAGCACAGGTCATTGCAGGACATTTTGCAGGGATTGGTGGTCGAGCTACAAGAGTTGAGCAAGGGCAAGATGTTATTTAGCAGCAGAAAAGAGCTCTGGAGTTGGCTGCCTTTCCCCAGACAGGAGAGCTTTGAAGCACCGGAATTTCCCCAGGTCTATTAAAGAAGTAAATGGAATAAGAACAGCCAAAGTTATTTTCTTGAGCACTTTGGTGAGTCAGGGGATCAACAAGGATGGGACTCTGCTCCAAAAGTCGAGTGTGTTGTTATTCAGGATCTCATGACTCTGGCTCTTCATTGCTACTGATCTCCTTTGTGCTGATCCTTGTCAGAACAGGGATTGCAACTCCTTGTCTGCTCAGATTCCCTTCTTGGATGAGACCATCACAAGGGAATTGCAAAAATGATTGTCCCAAATCTCTAAGCATTCAATCAGGGCTTTGAGATCCCTACAATGAGCTGAACACCCCGGAATTTTGATTTGGGCTCCCAACTCTTTTGAAAGATTCTCACACCAAACCACTTGCCCGCATTAACTCGGAAAAACCCAGCACTTCACATGAGCTTAAATTCATCCTTAAATTCCTTAATTTCCCTCCAGGATCCCTTCTAATCTTAAATAAATCTCTTAAAGAGTGTTTCAAACAGTTCTCAATTCTTCTTTTTGTCCTATTCCAAGCCAGTACCTGGTCTCTTGGAGAGTTCATGCCCATTTATCTTGAATTAAAAGCATTTTGGGTGATTCGTAATAGAACAAACTGGATCTAATGGCAGGTTTGCCTCTAAACTCAACATTTCCCTACGAACCAGGGAGATTTAAACTTTCCAAACAACTTCCAGTCGCCCATTTAACCGAAGAGAGGATAGGAATAAACACCGAACCTGTCACGTCGTGGATACCAGCGGGTGGAGGCAACCCAATATCCAACAGAATTTTCTGGTAAGAAACTTTCAGCTTGGTTTGGGACCAAACACCAACCCAGAAAGCAAAGAGAGATACCAAAAGCAGCAAAACAAGCAGTTCCAAAAGCAGCAAAGAGCAGCTCCAGACTTACCAAGTCGTAGGGAAGAACGAGTGAAGGAAGACGTTTGGGACAACCCCAAGTGGAGACAGCTTTTATACAGTTCTGACTTTGCCTGAGGGCTCAGAGGAGCTCATTAGTTGACACAGAACATTTTTTTGGTATTGATTGCTTCTCAAAATGATGAAATTGTTGTTCTTTCTCTTTGGGTTTATTCGTGATCTCAATTATGGCGTTACGTCACACGAGGCACTTTGATCTGAAACACTGATGGGTGAAATTAGTGCATCTTTCATCCCAAAACGTGATTCATGAATTAGTACCAGTTTTCTGGAGCGGCACCATGTGCTGAGCTGTTTATACACAAATATTCTTCTCCTGTATCATAAGACAAATATGCTTGGGCAGGTACAGAAATTATAAAAATCTTAGAATGGTTCGGGGACACAAATATCCAGGAAAATCTTATTTTTTCTCTGACCATTAAGCCACAGCTTAAACCCGAGTTTAGTTCTGAAGGGAGAGAGATTTATGATTGTAAGAAATAGAATGGAAAGATCAAAATAATCGGAGCGTACGTTGAATTAATAATTGAATTCATGTTTTATTGAGCTGGCTTCATCTCTGGAAGTGTTCAAGGGGGGTTTGGATCAACCTGGGGTGGTGGAAGGTGTCCCTGTCCATGGCAGGGGGTGAAACAAGATGGTCTTTGGGGTCCCTCCCAACTTTAAATCATCCTTTGATTCTACATAGGAGAAATCCCGAATTTAGCTGTAGTGGAAATAAAACCCCTTTGTTTTTAGAGAGGATCTTGCAGCTAATCCCGTCCTTGAAGGCATCTTTCAGCACAGAGCAATTACGAGGTGAGAATCTGCTGGGAAAAGCAAATGCTGGATTTGCTGAGGTTTCTCTCTCTGTTTACACCACCATTGTTCTACTCTATCATTATCGTCGTTATCATAATCACCCACGTGGTTGTCTTCACACCACGTATTATTTGTAATTTATGAGCTTTTCCGAATCTGGAGAGACTTATGAGGATTCCCCGAGCCATTATCCTGGCCAGAAAAAAAAATATAATTTAAAAAAAAAAAAAAATCCATGTCAAAGTTTTACAAGAACATTCCAAGGGATTTTCAAATACCTCCTTGAACACCCATTACTGACTCGTTCCTACTGTGTCAGAGTTATATAAAATCTCTGCCTGGGTGTAAACACCCCACAATTACAAGAGATTATCACACTAAAATGGATAAATTGAGGACACTGGGTTTTTTCCCACAATCAGCTCTTATGGTATTGGCCTTTCTGTCTTTGACCTTAAGAATAAAATATATTTACCTTTTTTTTTTATTTAAAATTTTTATTTTATTTAAAACACAGAATGGTGTGTCTCTAACGTGTGAAAATAGGAGGGGAAACATGAGAATGGAAAGGAAAGCTCTTTAAAAAAATCTTAATTTCCATGGAATTGTGGCTGCCAGGTGAAATATTTCTGTTTCCAGGGGCTGAAAGAGAACCAGGAGAGAGTTTAAAAAGAAACATGGGGCGAGACTTCTAAGTGTTGAATTGTCAGGAAAAGAGGGAACAGATTAAATCTGACAGAGGAGAGGTTTAGATGGGATTTTGGGAAGGAGTTGTTCCCTGTGAGGGTGGGGAGGCCCTGGCACAGGTGATTCCATGGATTCCCCATCTCTGGAAGTGTCCAAGGCCAGGATGGATGAGGCTTGGAGCAACCTGGTGCGTGGAACGTGTCCCTGCCCACGTCAGGGGGTGCCTCTGGATGATCTCTAAGGTCTTTTTCAACCCGAACCACTCCATGACAACATTTTGTGGTATAAAGTTAATTCAAAAGTGCTCCTGATTGTTGTGTTTGCCTGGCCTTGAGTAGGTGGAGGGAGAAATGCTGAACATGCAGAACCAATTTTTTTTTTGTTTTTTTTTTTTATTTTCCCTTTGTTATTTGTCCCCAGTCCTCATTTGAACTCCTAAAAGAAATTCCATTCCGTGTCTGTTGTTGATCACACTCCAGGACCTTTACCTGGGCAAAACCATGAGTGTCCCTCAATCATCCTAATCATGGAGCACTCATAAATAAACCAAGTCAGTTTTATTTCCTCCCCTAACGCTAAGTAGAGCAATGGCATCGTAAAAACATAATCCCCCACACAAATCCCGGAGACAATAGAGGTCTGGGGTGGAATGTGTGGGTTTAAAGTGCACCAGCAATAAGCAAAGACAATTTCAGCACTTTGAGGAATTATGTGTCCTGCAATTTGGGGTTGGGACCTAATTACATCAGGTGCCCGGTGCCCTCTGGGCAGGCAAGGAGCTCTATAAAAGGTGTCTCCATCAGGTCCTTCCATCCACTTCTCTCACCTGTTCTGCCTTCGTGAACCAGGTAAGTCGCTTTTCTCTCAAACTTCTCTAAACTGGGCTTTCTGTCAGGAAATCAGGCTGCCGATGCTCTGCGGGATATTTGGTGTTTAATTTCTCCTTCGTTTCCAGATCTTGTAGGAGATTTGGTGCACTGAGTGGTATTGAACTCCAAATTTGTATTATTTTAGCTCTCCAAAGGGTTCCTTGTCTGTATTTTAGGAGATGAAGAATAACCTGTACATGTGGCTATATTCGACAGAGTTTTGTTGAGTTTGTGACAGGAAAGATAAAATCTGAGCAGAAATTGTCAGCTAAGAGTAATTTAATACTGAAGAAATTACCTGATTGGGAAATTCAAAGGTACGGCTGAAGAGTTGTACCTTTCAGATTGTGCTGGTCTGAAGTCAAGGGTAGCCTGGAGATGACAGTGATAGGAAAAAAACAGGAATGGGAAACACATTTCCTTCCCAGATTTATTACTGACACTCTTGGACTACTTCAGCACAGCCTAAAGTTTGCCATTCCTTTAAAATTAACATAAATTAACACCTTCTAGAGATTAACCTCCAAGATGTCCTGCAATGACCTGTGCTCCACCGCTGGCTCCGGCCTCATCCGGCCCCAGCCCCTGGCTGACACCGGGAACGAGCCGTGTGTGCGCCAGTGCCCCGACTCCACCACCGTGATCCAGCCTCCCGCCGTGGTGGTCACCTTCCCCGGGCCCATCCTCAGCTCCTTCCCGCAGGATTCCGTGGTGGGATCTGCTGGAGCGCCATTCCTTGGAGCCTCTGGGGGCTCCTCCCTGGGCTATGGGTCCGGGGGCTATGGGGGATTTGGCTCTGGGGGCTATGGGGGCTATGGATCCCTGGGCTCTGGGGGATTTGGCTCTGGGGGCTATGGGGGCTATGGATATGGGGGCTCCTCCCATGGCTATGGGGGTCTGGGGTCCTGTGGGGGCTCCTCCCTGGGCTATGGGGGCCATGGATATGGGGGCTATGGGGGTTATGGATCCCTGGGACACGGAGGATTTGGATCCCTGGGATATGGG